CAATGCCACCACCATTGTTTTTTGTTAAGTGTAACATGCAATGAAGAAATTGTGAAAAGAAATATGAATATAGCTTTATGAATATTTTAGAACTGTACACAACTCTGTAGCTAGCACCAGATAAGAAGCAAAGCACTGCTAGCTGGCCAGTACCTAATATAGTACTCTGTACAATCTCACTAACTTTCTACCTGCAAGGTAATCATTATCTTGAAATCAAATAATATGAATTAATTTTGTCAACTTTTGAATGTTATATAAATGGAAAAGTGCAAAGTCTGGTTGGCTTTTTTTACTCAGTGATGAGATTCATTCATATTTTTGCTCTCTCATTTGCATTACTATATAGCTGTACTATTCAAAGTGCGGTTCCTGTACAATCAGCATCAACATTACCTGAGATCTCCTTAGAAATGCAAATCATCAGATCTCACCCTAGCTTTGTTGATACATAGCCTATCTCTTTGCAACTCAAAAACATGTGTTTTATTAAGCCGTCCCCATGATTATTTTGCCTGGTAGAGTTTCAGAGTAATGGCTGCATAATACAACCAATCCTATGAGGGCTTATAGTGGCCCAATTAAAGATTTTTTAAAATTTCATTTTACAATGCTGTAAAAGAAGCATGCAGCATGCATTAACTGGAAACTGCACATAAAAGTCTTCATTGGTTCAGGTTTTCAATATGTATTCATGTTTGTTTGAGAGGTGGATACATGTACATAGCCTATCTTGAGTTTTGATCCTTTTATCCCCCCATAATCATTCTTCCCATGTCTGAAACATCTTCCATACATGATATTTAAAAAAAGTGTTTTTTTTTAGCATTTCCAGGCTGGTGATACATGGTATGACACTGAGTAGCTGCAAAGATCTACAAGGGGAAACAACCAATAATCCTTATGCATCATATTGCTAGGCTATGCTTTGGTAAGTTAGGTGTACTAAATGCATTGAATTTTATTTGCAATTTACAATAGGCATACTGGGCAGAGACCCCACTATAAATAGAGGGACATCAGCATTCCATTGTATGGCCAGACCACCGTCTTTTCCTCTAGTCTCTCAGTGATAGCACCAGCATTGTTTCTTATCTCCTTCCCATAGAAACCATGTGGTGAAGATGAATAGATCTGCATTTTTCTTTCAAAAATCCCATAGCTTCCTTTGTCTGCAATTTTGCACATAACTGTGGACTGAATGTTTGCATTCCTGAAACTTCATTTGTTGAAGTCCTGGTCTTCAATGTAACTGTATTCAAAGGAAGTCTTTTGGGAGGCAACTGCAATAGCATAAAATCGGGATGATGGAGCCTTTATGATAGGATTAGTTCCATAAAGAGACTACAGAATTTCTGTGCATCAACAGGACATCCGTTTGTAAATCACAAAGAGGACTCACACCAAGACTCAAATTGGCCAGCACTTTGATTTTTTTTATTTCTCAGCTTCAAAAGCTCTAAAATAAATTTATGTTGTTTAAGCCATGCAGACTATGGCAGTCTGTACTAAAAATACAGATCATAGCAGTCCAAACTGAGTACACATATATGAGATCTCATTTGGCTGACATATGCTTACTCACCCAGACCGATAGTATTTCTGGTCTAGAGACATTTACTTTCTTTGTGACCCAGTGTGTCCAGTGCCTACCTGACGAGTCAGCCACATACATCCTTACGCTCTGTGTACTCACCGGTTGTCCAACTAAACAGTGGAAACATTTTTGCATCCTCAATGCTGAACACAGGGGCTGACACAAAGTTCACACCGAACGACAGTTTGAAAAATTGAAAAGTAAATAAGCAAAATTACCTATGACAAAAATCACCCAAATGAAATAAATAAACTTCACTTTTTCTGGAAATTAGAATGATCAAAAAGTATTCACATTCTCTGAAAAATATTTTTGCATACTTATTATGCAATGGGCAATTCTAAGTGTCAGTGTTTGGGGGAATACAAATTTAAATGAGTATTGGTGAATCATTTCAAGAAACTATTATGTTAAAAAGAACATACAATCCACATTGCCTTTTTTTCCACAGATCAGATCGGTCAAAGTTATTAGATGGTGGGACACTGATTCACTTTAGTTTTAAAGGGACAATCCAACATAAAAGAAGAAAGGAAAGAAAAAGGAAGGGAGAGCAGAAAAAAGGAAGGAAAGGAGAAAAATGAAAAGAAAGAAGGTGTAAGGAATAAGAGAAAAAACCTAAATAGTTTCCTTTCCTTGTCGCTTCAACAGGGCCAGATGAGGGTGTAGGGTCAAAATGCCCTGCATTCAAGAAAGATGCATCTGCTTTCAGAAACTTCTTTTTCAAATTCTATGGCAAGCTCTGATACTATGAGCAGTGTACTACTTGATTCTCAGTCTTCTGACATTCTCTAAAAAGACATTTCTGCCTAGCGATGGCAACTACTTGATCTTAATAAAGTATTTTCAATATGTCAGATATTTTCTGGGAAACAGCAAGGAAAGCAAAGGGGTTAATGGGCAATTAGGAAGAGGAATGTTTCAGGCTACAAAGAGGAAAAGATTTAGTAACTGATTAGTTTGTTCACTATATCATTTTAGCTGGACTTTCAATGCCTGTCCTCCAATCCTAGGTGTTGGAAACTCATTTACATGATACGGATGGGGATTGCCTTCTCCTCCATTAACAGGCTAATCTGACACACAAGTTTAAAAACTCCATGGTTTGTCTTATATGAGAACACAACATATCAATAAAATGCAAAATAAAATACAGATAGTGGGAAACGTGCAGATAGATTTTTGTTCTATTGGGAAGGAGAGCAAAGGATGCAGCGAGGGGAGGGAAAAGAGATTTTAAAAAAAATATTAAGAGGTGGTAAATACACGTGCCAACTCCACACAAGTAATGTAATTATTATGTAATGCAAGCATGTACTAAGAAAAATTGGGAAAACAAGGGTTCTCTAACAGACTCTTTCAGATTGGTAAGTAAAAATGAAAGCACGATCTGTACTTTTAATACAAACTTATTGCAATGTTTCATGTGCTTTCAAAAGTAAGCCAATTCATTTAAAAACAGTCCCTTCTTGTAAAGTAATTAAGCCCAAATTAGACATCCAGATGTTTGTATGTATTTGATCACATATACTTAATAACTACTGAGGTAGTTAAGCTTGTTAATGGAGATACAGATGATGCTCTGTGGGGAAACCACACAAAATAGCCATATTATTAGATAACTACGTTTCCAGGCATCTCTTAAATCAAAGGCATTGTTAGAACTGTTCATCTCTCTTTGGAAATGTGTCACAAACGTATTGGATGATACTTAACTGCTATGTTCATTTTTAGCAGCAATGAGTTGCAAATACTGCACTGTTTCTAAAGTAACAGGGGATATACTATTTAAGAAAAGAATGTTAATATTCTGTAGTGCTGGGATGTTATTTATTTATATTATTACTCTAACAACTTTAAGATACTTCCAGTGGCAAGCAATTTTAAACATAAAAGTATAGTATAAAAAGTATTCTCGGGGGCTGGGGATTTAGCTCAGTGGTTCTGCCACCTGCCTTGCAAATACAAGGAGTTTGATCCCCGGTACCCCAAAAAAAAAAAAAAAGTATTCTACACACTGTCTCACTGATTACCACAGACATTCTTAAGCAGCTGTTATTAACAAACTTGAGCACACTTTTTAATTCTCTACCCAAAATATTGAACCCCATTCTCTGTGGGTGACCATATATCTTATTTTACTTAGAAACTTAAAAACATCTAGCTGGTGCTCCATTATCAAACCCTCCATCTCGGCATTTTTATATTTTCTATTCCTGTGCCCAGTTTCCATGAAACTGTGTTTCTCCAGTTGGATCCAACACAAGCTGTGTGCTCCTGGGTTTCGTTCCAGTCTTCATCGCTGTTGTTTTACGGTGGCTTCTAAGGCCTTGTCAGGTAACTCGCACAGACACCTGTACCAGGTTTCTTACCGCATAGCTCAATGCGTTCGCCAGTCTGCTACTTTACTTGCATTCTGTCAAACTACTGAACGCACCAAAGTTAGGGGCACCTCAGGTCTTTAGCTACATTTTTATTCTTGTCCTGAAACAGAGGAAATAGAAGGAGTGGTAAATATAAGGAGGTTTTCACTCTTGAATTCAGTTGTCGCTTAAGATGCTGCTGGCCATTTACATAGGATTTCTTTTTTTTTTTAAGTATATGTGCTGCTGAAGCGAGCACTACATCTTACTTCTTTATCTCATATTAATTAGTTGAAAAAAATAACATCTAATTAGCTGTGGCATTATTGAATAGCCAGTATTCTAAAAGTGAATCAAGCAGTTCAAGTTTTAGTTTTGCTAATCAGCTGCTAGTAAACACATAAACTACTCTACAGAGGGCTTTTATTAAACTAAAAGGAAAATAAACGATCAACAAAATACTTTTTTATTAGCTTACCTTATTAACCATACTAAAAAATAAATAAAAATAAAAAATACACTAACAAGTAATGACCAAAACTACAAGCTCAATTGAATAAAGAGAGTAGTGGCAAAAGACTTTCAGTTTTATTGATTTCTTTTACCTCAAAGTCACTTCAGTACACATGTACTGCAAAGAAAATAAGTATATACTGTCTTACCGGATTTGGACTGCTCTAACAAAACACCACAGACTAAGTGGTAACAAAATACCATTGGCAGAAATTTATTTATCACAGTTCTAGAGGCTGGGAACTCCATAATAAAAGACACCAGCACAACTGGTTTCTAGTTTGGGCCGCTTCCTCATAAATACAGGGTTTTCTCACTCTAGCCTCGGGTGAAAAAAAAGACAGTAGCTAGCGCTCTGGAATTTCTTTCTAAGACATAAATGCCAATCACGAGTATTCTGTCTTCAAGTCTAAATCGTCTCCCTTGATGTCCCACCCATCACTTTTGGGGTTAAGATTTCATTTTACGAACTATGAGCTACAGAAACACTAGGATCATAGCATCAACCGTGATGTGAGAAATAGTACGGTTTACACGAGATATTTGGCCGGTACATCACTCCACTACACTCTGTGAGCTTTACACAAAGAAGGTTAAAGCATGAGCGTGGTACGTGTAGGAGCCAGAACTGTGCAATGTGGCGGGAGTTGAAAATACTTCATGGAATCTTTCCTGGTGAGGTACTCAGAGAATGCATGCTGATCTAGACTTCAAAAGATTTATAGTTCAACAATATTAATTTTTGTTAAAAGCACTTCCTAGGAAAAATTTTTAGAAAGCTTTTTGTGACATTCTACAGTCTGATTTAAGAATTTGGGATATTTTTTGCTTTCACATTTAAGAATGTTCTGTAGACATCTGGCTGCTTTGTCTCCTTGGCTTGCTTCCTGATCTCTCTCTCTTCCAGCCACCATGAAGCCAATAGCTCTCCTTGCTGTGCCCCTTTGCTGTGCTATTTCTGTACCGGAGCCAAACAACCATGGACCAAAACATCTGAAACTGTGAGCAAAAAATGTAAAATGTCATCTAAAAATATACTGATTATTTAAAATTTAAAAACTATGTTACACTGAAAGATTCACTGCCATTAAACCTTTTCAAAGTACCGCCCCCCGCTCTGAAAACACTTAGGACACCATTTCCCCACTTTCTGAAGCAGTTCTGAAAGCCCTCTTAAGTGAGTGGCTTACATGCACTACGAGGTCTGCCCCAAGATCAAGAACTGCTTCAGAATATTTACCTTTCGCGTTCGATTTGGCTTTGGGGAAGCGCCGGAAGTCGCACCGGGTAGATCCCGTGAAAAAGGTGGCAGAGGACGCCATGTTTTCATGAGCCCGCCTTTCCCCTGGATGGTGCTCAGCAACATCATTGTGTTTTTGATCACACTTAGTAAAGACACTCACGGAAGAGAACTTCCAGAACTGCTACGGGATAGGTGCGTTTGAAGTGAGGGGGTAATTTGAGGGGAACTATGGCAATGACTTCTTCTTTTTTTAATTTAATGCACCATAGTTTTGTTTTGTTTTGTTTTGTTTTGTTTTGTTTTGTTTTTTATCAGCCCTTGAAAATCCGTTCTCCTCTAGGTTGTACTTGTTAGGTATTATGTCCCAGCAATGAAAAGTTGACTAATGAACTGAAGTATGTGTTTTCAAACACGATAGTTTATAACTTACTTATGTCTCATGAAATCATCACCGCAGTTGTATTCCCCCTAGCCCAGTTCTTCTGAAATATTTCTCTCCCATACATTTTAATATTTTTCTGGTTTTCTTTTTAATTTCCTAGCTGATACTCACCATGGTTAAATATTTCCTCTTTTCATATTATTTTAATCTAATAGTTAACTTAACTCCAATTAATAGGTTTATGACATTTTTCTTACTACCTATTTCTTGCTGATCTCCCTCTAAAGAATTCTTGCTATCATTTGATCTGTAGACACTGGTTTTTCTCCATGGATTTTTCTGTTCCTTAGACTTTTCTATCTGTAGTGTCTCCAGGCAGTCTCATTTAGCTCGGTGATCACAGCTATCTCCCATTGAGCATTCGACTAGAATACCAGATTCGTTCTTGCACAAAATCCTTATCTTCAGCAGTTCCAATAAATCACTCATCGAATCTAATTATCTTCACTTCTAATTGACTCCTTAAGATGGGCTTCCCCTCCTCTCTTACCCACAACTCTATCTTTCCTCAGCTGTATCGGGAGGCTCTCTAGCTAAAAGTTCAGCAGTTGTACACATGAGATCCCCTAGTTCATTCCTTCGTGGAGGTTAAAGTCCTAACATGCTTCCTGTTTTAGAGCAGATGCCATTGCTTTCAAGAAGACTTTCCAGTCCTGCACTGGAATTAGTCTATTCTACTTTCTGAGGCCATGACATGGCTTATTTATGTATTAAAGGTGAGCTGATTGCATTTTGCCTTTATGTTAGTTTTTATTGTGTCTGTCTTTGAATTACTTTGTAAATTTCTAGAGGTCCAAAATGTCTTTTTTTTTTTTTTGGAACCTTGCAGAGTTCATGATACAATGGATCATCTAAAATCTTGAAAGAACTTAAAATACCTCAGCAATTTACACTGACAATGAAAACATTACACTACATCTAGGCATCCTAGTGACAGAGTCTAAGCTGAAAATGGTAGAAGGCTGATAATAAATGTCCAACCACATTTTGTATTTTGAACAAGATCAAGTCTCATATGTCATTTTAATAACATTCGTTCTAATACTTTGAATGTTACTTTTCTTCCAATTCACATTATGAATTGTTTGATTAACATATAATATTGAAGTATTGGTCAGCTTTCTAATTACTGGAACAAAACACCCAATGTCCTCAACTTGAAGGAGGAGAAGTTTGTTTTGGTTCACAGTTTCAGGTTTCAGTTGCTGTAGGTACTGTAAAACAAAGCTGCTCACTTCTTGGCTCTGGGAAACAGAACTCAGAGGAAGATCACTGGAGAGGAAGCAAGAGGGGCCAGACAAGTTCCCAGGGTCAGGAAGCAATGGCCCGTCCAGACACACCCAGAAGCGCTCCTTACTACTCTGAAACTGATCAAGTTGACAGTCAAGATTAAACGTACCACTTATACTGCTTATAATCATTCTTTATATTTTTTTAAATTTTACTTTGTAGTTTAATTCCCCTTTGAATTACATTATGCATTCTATAATGAGATGATATAGGTTTTACAGTAATCCTGAAACTCAGGGAGACATTAAATTGACTTGATTTCTATATATGTCAGCAAGTACTGACCCATGATGATCACTAATTAATACAGACAAAACTATGTTTCAGAATTCTGAGTTATTGGAATGTTTTAAACCATGACATCCACTATCTTGAAAATGTAGTGAATTCTTCATTTTTAGATATGACTTCACTGCTGGGTTTAAATAGAAATGAAGTAAAAATAAGGAGATAGATAGGATATGGACAGTGCTTAAGTCCATTGTAACAAAGTGGCCAGAAAGAACAAGAGGGCTCAAGATGAACGAGAGATCTAAAGACTGAGTTTGGTGAGAGGATTCTAGTGATCAGCTTTGCTAGTGGCAAATAAAACTGAGACTTGTTTGTATTTTTTGTCTCAGTTCAGATCAATGTGACCTTCTAGGTCAGCTTCTTGAAATTGAATATACTCGGCCTCCAAATGGCTTTGGGAACTTCTAAAATGTATGGAAAACAACAGAGTGACAGTGCATTCCATGGATTGAATGGCCCATCAGGGCCATGCAAATGCGAGAGAAGCTGTTGTTCTGAACATCTTTCATCGTGAAGAAAGCCGTGAACAGATTTGATCCCCCAAATAAAATTCTACATGAAACCGCCATTCGCTGCCAGGGACATGACCAAGTGTATGAACAGCATTTCTTCACCAGAACACAATGCTCAGCATCCACAAGTTCAAGGAGAATATTTCTAATTTGGTCCACAGTTTCGTGAGTTCAGTCCCCACTTGGCTGGCTCCAAGACAGGAGATCCTGGTGGAAACACTGCGGAGATGAGCTGCTCCGGTAGCTGGGAAGCTGAAGAGGTGAACAGCGCCACGACGAGGGGCCAGAAACCACGTGTAACACCCAAGGTTATGGCTTCAGACACCTCATCAGACACATTGCTGTAGACTGGGCAACTCCAGGACAATCAAGTCACAGCACAGCTTAGTGTCACCTTAACTATTTGGTTTCCTTTCACAGCCTCTACATGGATGTCAGTTATAACATATTTTAAGTGCATGTATGTACTCCTTCTAACATATATACTTTATTATCATTTTGAGTTTTGGTAGCTTGTTTCTCTCTTCCCAATAAAGAGAAGATTACTCAAAATGCAAAAGTAAAGGAAACATCATTCCAGCACATTTGTAATCCTGTACTGAAAATCTCCTTCTGTTATTTCTAGTCTCTTGAGGTCCCTTATGCCTTTGAATTATATTTCTTTAAGTGATATGATTATGAAGGTACACAGTGTTTTATCAAGTTTGAGATCCTTAGGGAAATCACGTGATGTAGTAAGTTACATTTAAAGATCACAGATGTTTATTTTCTATGTTTTTTCCCCTATCCCTTAAAGAATATTTGTAACGTCAAAGGCATTGGTAAAGAGATCCTGAATAAATTGACCTGAACTTGTAGATATTTGTTTCTTCTGCAACATCTCCTGCGATACACTGTGTAACTCACTTCCTATCATTAAATAAAATAAAATTGGAAGGGAATGTTTTCAAAGCAGACAGAGACAAGAGTTACTAAATGATGCTGACGGATCAAAGCATGTGGGGACAGCAGGAAAGAGAATCTTAAATTAGTCTTTGATTCCAGGTAAATTATAGATGGAATTTTTCTCCAGGTAAATTAATCAAATTTATTTGTGATTCTTATTTTTATATACATTTCTAGATCTACCATATGACATAAGAAGTCAGTATTGATAACAATAAATAGATGGGGTGAATTAAATGTGTTCGTATCCTATAACAAATTGCTAATGAAAATTATTATAATATTGAAGTTAGTCAATAAAGTATTCAGGTCTGAAGAAAATTGTTTTATATAGGCGGGGGATTTATCTCAGTGGTTTTTCCACCTGCCTCACAAGTGCAAGGTAATGACTTTGATACCTGGTTACAAAAAAAAAAAAAAAAAAAAAAAAAAAATTTATACAAACTTTAGAAATTCTTTCGGAACTGAAGTTGACACACTTAATACAACAAAATAGATAGAGGGAATCTTTTTTATTTGAAAATTTAAAATAGATTCTAGTTTTATATCTTGTATGTTTAATTCTATTATGTTCATCCTTGTCAGGTTGCTCTGGCTTCTGTATTATAGAAATAATTTATATTAATAGTCAATTTCAGTTAAGATCCTACCAGTAACAGTTAAAAAGCTATTGTTCCAAGTCATGGACCACATTATAATCAAACATATGTTTATAGATAGCTACAATTGGGAGAACATGTAAATAATTTTTACATAGTGATATACGTGTATCCTCTATTTGTAAAACCTTGTACAAATAGTGACAGATACCTCAGGGTGAATATATGCAAATATAATAAAAATATATATCTATATAAAAGTCTATCTATATGCATTATATTACTTATGTGTATATTATATCAAAATTTGTGATATGTAAGATATATAATGCACCGTATGAATATGTTTCTTCATAAATAATACAATTATAAATACAAAGACATATTTATATATAAATACATTCAGACTGGGGATTTATTTTTATTTGTTTTTTTGTTTGTTTCTGCTTTGGGAGTTTTTTGTTTGCTTATTTGTTTTGTTGAGACAGGCTTTTGTTACGTAGTTTAGGTTGGCCTTGAACTCACTGTGAGTATAGGCTGACCTCAAACTCACTGAGATCCTCCTGCCTCATCCTCCCAAGTGCATCATCATCCCCAGCCAGACTGGGATATAAACCCAGACAAACTGGCTTTAGAGGCCACCCTAGGTTACCATGTTTTTCCCAGTTCTTGAAACATTCCTAGTAGCCAGAGCACGCGTGTGAAGGGTTTTGTAGGCTGGGGTGAAGCCATGAAAAGCCAGTGACACAAAATTCCAAAGGATTTTAAAAGTAAGAATTTGAATTCCATCACCAGGACTATAATCTTAAGTAATCACTCATCACAAGAGAGTTTATAATCAAATACAAGTCACTTTCTGCTGACTTTTGATAATATATCATATTTAAATTAGCCATCTTCCTCTTACTATTTACTCATTTAAAACGAGTGTTTATTCAGTAATGCAAGCAAAAGGAGACAAATGGAAACTTACCTTTCAGACCATGGATCTGTAATCAGA